TTTTTTGCTCAAGCCGCGTGGCAACTGATAGGTGGGGTGGGTGGGGGAGAGGAGCAGGGAGGAAAGCCTGCTCTGATACCAGTGTGACGGACCCGCCGGGATGGCGGTCCGTCAGGATCAAGATGAAGGGATGAGGATGGGGGAGATGGAGATGGAGCTGGAAGGGACAGCGCAGCTCCAACGCAGACTCAACACGCACGTACTCCAATCTATGCAAATGAAGAATGAATCAAAAACAGACTATAGCTGGGGTATACCCCCAGCGGACTGACTGACTGGACTGGCCTGGTACCGATAGTGGTACCGGGCAGGACTGGAACATCACACGGCCTGTGGGGTCAGGCCACGGCCTGGTCCCACAGGTCGAACTGGCAAATAGCCAAATAGGCCCTGGCTGTAGGCCAGGGCAGAAGAAGGCCCGCTGCAGTTTCACTGTATTCTTATTTCTTTCAGTGTTTTACCAAAACTTTTTTACACTGAATAAAGGATAAAATAATAAAAAGAAAAAACAAAGACACATTGAAATCATTCAATTTCTCAGTCTTATTAACTCCTCCTCCACCGTCTTATTAACTCCTCCTCCACCTCCTCCACCGTGCCTCTATATCGTCAATATATATCGTCACAAATTTATCAGAGCGCAAATGCAAAAAAAAAAAGAAATAAATTCATTTTTTATTTTCTTCCTTACAAGACTCCCCCTGTTCAGAACCTCTTGCGTACAAGGCCGCCCACGTGGATGTAGGTTGAGCGGCGGCTGCCCCCACCCCCGTGTGTCATATCGACCCACTTGCACACAGCCAAAAAGCGAAGAGGCAAAAAAAAGAGGAAGGGAACAGCCAAACATTACAGAACAGGGGGCAAACGAATCCTAGATGACAAGTCCCACATTCAGACACTGCCCCCGACAGCACAGGCCAAACGACGGGACAAACCAGCCACTGCAGGATTCAAGACACGGGAACTGTGAGATGGTTGAACAATATGCTATATAGAACCTGGGCAGAGAGAGAGAAAGGGACAAAACGAGGGGCTGTAATAGGTTTTTCCTCTCTCTCTCTCTCTCTCTCTCTCTCTCTCTCTCTCTCTCTCTCTCTCTCTCTCTCTCTCTCTCTCGTGTCAAACAGAACTGGTGGTAAACCGCAGGCAGAGAGGAAGAAGAGGGCAACAAACAAGGGGCTGTGAGAGACTGATTCATCGGAGTTTCACCAACTCATCAGGAGGCTGAATATATATGTATACATTGTATAGGGCCTCGCCACACCACTGTCCAAACGAAAAAAGAAATAGTGCATCTTCCCCAATAAAATGGCAAGATGCACCCGTTACTATGAATAGCAACGCATGCATCTCACCACTTTCCGGGAAAGATGCACTCATTCTTTTTTGCTTTCAACAGCTGCGCGGCGAGGCCCATTATAGTCATTGAGAACTGCCGGTGTACAGACAGTCCTATAGTCATTGAGAATTTGAGAACTGCCGGTGTATAGACAGACATAGATATATAGATAGATAGATAGATAGACAGATAGATAGTTTAATAGACAGACACATAGATAGATACTAGATAGATTTGCATGTAATATACAGACAATGCACTACCACCACCATCTCAGCCAGTGGACAAGCTACCCGTCTTCACCCGAGTAGAATGGCCCGGTCATTATCGCTGCATCTGGACTGAAATATGCCCCAAATACAGCTATAATGACCGGGCCTCCTTCTTACGGATCCATCTGCCCCCTCCTCACGCCCCTTATCCCCGAACCATGTTTCCCCGAGATCCTGGACAGTCTACGCTGGTTTTTTTTTTGTTTTTTTTTTTGAGTCAATTTCAGAATTTCTTTTTGGATTTAATTATTCTTTTTTTTGAAACAGTTTTCACCTTTGGCAGTAGCCGATGCAGATCCCAGGGGGCGATCCCTTGACCTCAACTTACTTGTGTACAGTATCTGCACAGTTCCCTGGAGTTGAACCCGACCTGCACGATAGCCAGTGGTAAGTAGGTCGCCGTAGGTTGTAGGCTGTAGGGAGATTCGAACTGTAGACCTGTAAGGTAGGAGTCCAAGTAGAGTCCAGAGGCCTA